ACACTTATGATATGAAATTAGACTAGAAGTAGAGACTAAAACCACTACTTATTTTTACATTATAATAACAATGTTCCAAAAAAGCTATCTTTCTAACTCACCTTATGATCTTAGCCATAAGCTGCCTAATAAAATGCATGTCTTAGCATAGCCTAGATAATGACTCCTGTATTGCTATGGGGGGCTAGTGGTGGTAGGGAATCTTTCTTTATTTCCCAATCAAATGAATTATTTCAATAGCCTATATTTTATTTTCAAGTTCAATGCTCTCCTGCCCATAGTTATAAGTTTTCTCTTTTTCCTCTCTGTCTCTAAAAAGGAATATAATTTTCACCTAAAATAATAGAATAAAATTGTCTATGTATTCTAGGTCTTAGAAAACAGACCCTGTTTTGACAGAACATCAGTTCCATAATTTATTCTTCACATAATTACATAATTCAAACTCATTATCTAACAAGCTCCCTATTTCACTGTGTCTTTTTCTGTATATTTTATTCCCTAGCAACATGCTTTCTAGCACTCCCACAACCATATCACTTAGGGGAGATGTCTCAAAGGTTTCTCTTCACATTAGAAACCATCAAGAAAGGAAAGGGCTTTAAGCCTTGTGAATAATAGATATGTAGAACCTTCTAGCATAGCAGTCATTCATTGCACATTCAACAATTAGTTGTTGTGGCCCCTTAGGGAGCCAGACTATTATCTGTGCACTAGAGGTACAATGGAATAATGGTTAAGCACATAGGTTCTGAATTTAGGTCGCCTGGATTAAAATCCTAGCTATATAACTGGCTCCCTCTCTGAAAATGGTCTGTTTACTTTACGTCCCTATGACTCAGTTTACTCATCTATGAAATAGGGATACTAGTATTGCCTCTCTCCTAGCCTTGTTAGGAAGGCTAAAGGGCATATCATGTGAAAATCACTGAGAACCATCCTTGGCACAGGGTACACGACAGCTGTTATTACCAGAAGAGATGACACAATATTTGCCAAATCGCCTACTGACAAACCTCACCACCACTGGGACTGCCTGCCATGTCCTCTCCCCTGGCCACCCATCCATGCTAGCAAGGAAATGACAAACTCATGAACTGCTAGCAATGAGGACTGTGGCAATGGAAAGCCCTTAAGATATCACAGATCCTGCCTTTTATGAATGAGGACACTAAAGCCCAGAGACACTACCCAGCTTGAATTAAATCTCACACAAATCAAGTAGGGGGTGAAGTTGGTATTTGACCTTGGGTCTCTATATTCCTAGTCCGGGCCTCTGGCTGGAAAAACCTGCAAACCGGAAGACTGGCCTATTCTCTCATCTGACTCACCTTTGACACAACCACGGGTAGCAACTCAAACACATTCCTCCTAACTGGTGGGGGTAAGAGATGGGGGGCACTTTGCTGTAAGTTGTCTATTTTTAGCCTCTATATATGGCCTGCTCCCCGCAGACTCACTGGGGCTGACAGACTGCTGTGGGATTTAAGGCACTCTCCATGTAGCTTGGTGGTTGCCATGCCAACGAAATTTAACAGAAATTGAGTTTTCTAGTAGATTATTTTCATGGAGGCTTTAAAGCCCAGATTACAGTTCCAACTCGGAAGCTTAAATGATGCAAGTGATTAGTCCTGGTAGAAAGTAGGTGTGCCATAATACTGAACAACAGAATGAATGCATGAATGCAATTAGTTGCATTAGGGAGCTGAAGGTGTAGCAGCAGAGAACTGATCTGCTTCTTAAAGTCAATATTTAAAACCAGTCTGGAGCGAGTTCACTCGTATCCTCCCTGAATTTTCATAATTACCTGACCCTGTGTGTGAAATGATTTGTCTGAATCCAAAGGACTGCCTCTGATCTTCAGGCCACTTAGGAGCTCTGCAACCCATGGGCTCTGCCTGCACTCAGCTGTGGGCTGCAGACATGAAAAAGGTAGCAGGAATCTGGATGGGGTGGCCCCTTGCAGGCCCTGTATAGGGCAGGGAGCTTCTTCACACCCGAGCGGGTCGAGGGTCAGTGCTCATTCCTTCTAAGGATGCTTTTTTGGCGACTATAATCATCATATTCAATGAGTGCATTTATTTAAATGCCTCTCTGGTTCAAGATACCTGTTTGAAAGGCCATCCTCTGGCCACAAGGAGTGAGTGTTATCAGATAAGCAGAGGGTCAGGGGAGCTCACAAATCTCCTTTCAGTTCCCAGGTCTTTCAGCAAATATTCTCTGAAAACCTTGTCTGATGAGTTCTTTCCCTTCTCAATAAAATCTATTCTATTAATCATTTGGCCTTCCTCTCTCCTTTCGCCCATTCCTCTCTCCATCCTTCTCTTCCTCCCTTCCTGCCTGTTCTTCCATTCTGCTTTCCAGTGGCAGTGAAAAGAACAGTTTTTTGGAGTCAAAATTATATTCAAATCCTTACTATCTCTAATGCTTATTTGTGGTGTGACATTCAGCAACTTTCATTACATCTTTAGCAGCATTTCTTCTTGTGCATAAGGGGCTACCAATGTTTGTCTTGGGTATGGTAACATCAGAGTGTTTCTCAAACTTTATTGGCATGAGAGTCTATTAGAGAGAGAAGTGAGAATGCAGATTCTCAAGATGCATACCCATAGACTCTAGTCCATTTGGTCAAAATTTCAGGTACCTGCATTTTAACAAGGTTTGCAGACATCAAGGATCCTACTTTGAGAAACACTGCATATGCTTGCAAATGCTTAGTAGAAAGAAATTTATTGTAAATATTCAAAAGGTGGGAGCTATGATCATTATTCATTGAACATCTACTATGTACCAGGTTCTGGAGATAGGTCCTGCTTCCTTTATTTCACTATGAATTTAATTTGTCCTATATGTTTGCCTTGTCCTATCCCATTAGCTCTAAGTTCCAGGAGGGCAGGATAAAGAAGCATAATGTGGTGGAGAAGAGCATAAATGTTAGAAGACATGAGTCTAATCCTGAACCTATTCTTTACTACTTAGAGTCCCAGCTCTAATACTCTCTAAGTGTGTGATCTCAGGAAAGTAACTTAACTTCTTTGAGCCTCAGCTTCTCTTACATAGAAAGGGGATTCATCTGTTCAGCATTCATTCCTTCAATAAACATTTATTGAGCACTTTCTAGGTGACCAACAGTGTCACTGCTAGGTACTAGGAATACATTGGAGAGTAGGACAGATAGGGTCCCTGACTCGTGTAGCTTAGAATTTAATAGTGGACACAAATATTAAATAGGTAACGACACAAATAACCAATTCCATTGCAATAAGCTGTGATAAATTTAACCAGCAGGAGCTAACCTAGCCTGGGAGTGTCAGGGAAGACCTCCTGGGATAGGGGATATTGAGCCCTGAGGGATGAGGAGGAACTACCTAGGAAAGAAGGACCTGAGATGGGAAGAAGCTGGACTCTGGAAGAAGTACAGGGATACCCATGTGGCTATAGCTGTGTGCACAGGTGATGAAAGGATTAAATGAGACAACAAAGTGCTTAGCACAGTGCCCAGCACGAAGAAACATACTAATCATGGACATAACACACCTTCTGATTTGTTGTAGACAATGTGTGAAGAAGTGCTGTGTAAACCAAAGGTTCTCAAATTAGCATTCACCAATCACCTGGAGGGCTTTTTGAATTACAGATTGCTGGGTCCCACTTCCAGAGTTTCTGATTCAGCAGATCTGGCTTGAGGTAGATAATCTGCAATTCTATGCTAATGAATTGCCAGGTTATGTTCATGCTGATGGAATATGTGGGTGGGGGGAATGGTGAGGGGAAAGGAAGGAACAGTCAGGGGGTGGGAGATTTGGAATTTGAGAACTAGTGTAATTGTCAGGTCCCAAATGCCTGTCGATCAAGTTGAAATCTCCCACAACGCTCAGCTCTAGACCCTGTACAGAACAATTCCATAATGATTTGATAATACATATTCTTTATACTTTTAGGGTGAGAAAGGGCCTTTGAAAATCCACATCCTTTTATTTACACAAGAGATGACCTCAAGGACCAGATAAAGTGACAATTTCACCTGAGAAATGGGAGCAGCCTGAACCCACGGTTTCTCCTCTCCAGAGCATACTAGTAGTACTTTTGGCGCACTTTGCCCAAGGCAGGCAGATGCAAGACAGCCCCTGAGAGTGGCTTACCCTGTATTCTCCTTGCATGGGCTAGATGAGCAAGATGGCCTGGCCCTCCACGACATGTATCTTGCACATGCAAAATTTTCTTACTGAATACATTGATTTTTGGAATAAACGTATTTTTGAGAGTCATGAGATAAATTCAACAAAATATAATCTTTTCAAAGAGAATATACCCCACAGCGATCGTCTATCATGCTTTAAGTGGAAATGAGGACGTTCGCTCCCCTTGTCTTTTCTGTTTTTCCTTATGTGTGTAGGCCACTTTCTTGTGGAAATAAAATTGATAATAAAAACGGAAATGAAAATGACAGCTTATTTACTCAGTGCATGTCTGGGTCAGAGAGTGCTTTCACCCCATCACCCCATTAAGAGGTGGGTCCTAAGGATCTCCATTTCATAGATGAGGAGTCCAAGGAATCTGAGGCAGGTCCTAGAGCCAGGATTTGAATCCTCCAACTAGGGTTTAAATCAAGACTGACTCCAGAGCTTGGCCTCTTAATTACATTAATGTGATGATTAAATTGTTTTAAAAAAATCAGTGTTGAAATGTAATAGTTAAGTGAGATCAGAAACACCCTGAGGAGTCAAGAAGATGCATTTAAATAACTGTCTACAGATGAATAATCTCTCATTTTGACAAGAAAACCCAACAATGCCTTTCCTACTGGTTTCATATTTCAAGAGTTAGATTAGAAATATCCCAAAATAGATTTTTTTAAAAAAAAGCTGAGTCATTAGGGTCCTTCAGGAGGAAGGAAGCCTCTCTAGGATAAATCTTAGCTTCTGTGGAAGGAGGGGCATGTCCCTCAGATGGGGGTGAGGCTGGGGGTCTTGTCGCTTTATTTATACACAACCCATAGACTTTACTAATTTGGTTCTGCCGGTTGGCTTACCACCAGGACACTCGGCTAGGAAGGCTCGAATAGACTCTCCAGGTTAGTTATTTTGGGACATCCTCTCCCTGTTGCTTAGGATGAAGTGGTCCTAATATAAATACCCAGACCTTCCTACCGGCAGGTTTTCGAAAAGGATGCCCAGCCATGCTTCCTCCTCGTCCACACTCTCCCGCTCACCAATAACTGTGAAGTGCAGAAAGCTGGCCAGGGCCTGTCGAAAGCGCGGCGCCTCGGAGGCCGGCAGGCTTTCCTCCCTCCCTGTGGGGGAGCGATCGCGGCATCCCTCCCCGCGGAAA